AACTTCGCCAGCATTTGTTGCTTGCTGTTCTGTTAAATTTTGCTAGTCTTACTGGAGTGAGATGATATCTCATGGTTGTCTTGATTTGCATCTCTCTCAGAGCTAGGGATTTTGAACAAAATGATAAATTTTAAGAAAACCAGAGGAGTGTAATAAATCTCAGGAAGGTACATCTGGTAAGAAGAAATGGGGGTTTATTCCCAATAATAATTCTGATGTAATTGTTAGGTTGTCCCTGAATTGCATAGTAAATACCAATTCTCACAGGTAATTTACCTTTTCGTCTCCAACGGGTTTGGCTACAAATGTTGAGAAAGCCAGACTGACAAGTCTCTCGATACCAGTGGAAGTGTCTTGTACTCTGACCCTGATACTGATCTAAAAGAGAAACAAACTGAAGTAAGTAAACTTTCATCCATATAGATACAGATAACAGACTGCATTGTAATGTCCACAAGTCAGCAATTCTCTATACAATTCTTTTCTTTCATTTTTTAAAAATGAAACCAGTATTTTATTTTGAAGCAAGACAGTCCTTTCAGTTAAACGAAAGGATAACTTTTTTTAACTAAATTTTTTCTTTCTGTAAAAGGAAACAAACTTTTTTCCCTGATTATGGAATGTAGGCTTACTAACGACATTTGAAAATAGATCTAAAACAAACTCTAAAAATGGAATATAACTATTTGGAGTAAATACTGTCAGTAACCATCCAGACACCCAGAGACAATCATTATTAACCTTATTGTTGTGGTTGTTAGGGTGGTGTCGAGTTGAGTAAGGTCCCAATTAATAGGGACCCTATAAACAACATATCTGAACCCTGCCCTAGACTGTGCCATCTTTAGAATCTCTGACACACTAAGGCCTATTGCTGCAGTTACTGTTAAACCACATGGTTAAAGGTCTTCTCTTTACTGTTCCTCACCTTTCCAAGCCTGATGGCCCTCTCCAAGGAATAATATCTCCTAGAAACATGACCAAATTATGTGAAATGAATCTTTTTCATCTTTCCCTCCAAGAAGCACTCTGGTTGCCCCTTCTCCAAGACATAGTTGCTTGTTCTTTTGGCAGCCCATTCAGTACTTTTCCCCAACACCACAATTCAAATGCATTAATTTTTATTCTGCAGTCTTTATTCATTGTCCATCTTTCAGATAGGTAGCAAGAGACTGAAAAAGACTGTGGCCTATTGAAAGTGCACCTTATTCAAGGTTCACCTTAGTCCTCAAATTGACATCATTACTCCTCAATAATTTAGAGGTCCCTGAGTGAAGACTCTTCCAATGCAATAAATCTCCTGATCATTCTGATTTCTCTTAAATTCTTTATATTATGTTTAATTGATATGGGGTGAAAGAGTCATATAGTTGTTATTATTATGTACTGTCAAGTCAGAACCAGCTCATAGCTGATCCTCCAGTGGATTTTTCAGAGGCTGTAAAGCACACAGGAGAAGAGTCCCCATATTTCCTCTAAGGAGCAGCTTGTGGATTGAATCATGCACCTTTGGATTAAAAACACAAGTCCTTACCATTGTCTGTACAGTCTTTAAAAGCTTGTGTAACTCATAGTCAACTGGATTGCTACTAACCAATCCAGAAATTATGATATGAAAGTGCCAACAACTCTATCCCTGCTAATTTAACCAGGATAACTAATTTAACCTGATCAAACTCAATTTAATTCACCACTAAGTCAGAAGCAACTCATAGCTAATCTTCTATGAGATTTTCAGAGGCTGTAAATTGTGTGGGAAGATTCCCCTTTTTTTCTCCTATGGAGCAGCAGTTAAAAAACTTAATATTATATTCACAACTATGGTGCATAGAAAAGAAAGTCAAGAAGATACAGAAGAAAGACCATCTAAACTTACTTATCCCTGAAGATAAAAAAAGCCCAGTTAATTGTGAGGCTTTTTTCCATTCATAGGCAAGTGAATGAGGAACAAATAGAGTAGAGTAAAAATTGTTAAATACTTTAACAGTACAGTGATAGAAAGCTGCCAGGGATAGAAGCTGAATTTAGAAGAGGTCATGGACAAGGTATATTATTGCCAATGTCAGAAGGATCTTGGCAGAGAGCAGAGAGTATCAGAAGAATGTCTATCTGTGTTTCCTTGACTACACAAAGGCATTTGACAGTGTGAATCACAATAAATTGTAGTTAAACTTGAGGAAAATGGGCACCTCAGAACAGCTAATCATACTTATACAAAATCTATACTTGGACCAAGAAGCAGTCACAGAACAGAGCAAGGAAACACTGCATGGTTCAAAATAAGGAAACGAGTGCATCAGGTATGCATCCTGTCCCCATACCTTTTCAATCTGTATGCAGAACAGATAATTAGGGAGGTAGGGCTTTATGAGGAGGAGTGTAGCATCAAGTTTCGAGGAAGACTCATTAACGACCTACAATATGCAGATGACCCAACCTTGTTTGCTGAAACAGAAGAAGACTTGAAGTACTTGCTGCAAAAAGACAAAGACTGTAGTCTTCAATATGGATTGAAACTCAACATCAAGAAGACAAAGATTCTCACCACTAGGCCAACTAGCAACACCATAATAAATGGAGAGTAGACCGAGGTTGTTACTAATTACACCTTGCTCAGATCCACAATCAACACTCTTAACACCAACAGTCAGGAAATCAAAAGATGAAGTGTATTAGTAAAACTGTTGTCACTCCACAGAGTGCTGAAGAGCAATGATGTCTAGACTTAAACCAGGCGATTAATTGTACTTAAACCAGACAATGGTCTCCTCAATTAATGTTTCAGAGAGTTGGAAATGACTAAAGATGACAGAAGAAGAATAGATGCCTTTGAGTTGTGGTGCTGGAGAAAAGTCTTGAACATACCATGAACTGCCAAGAAAACAAATCGGGTCACCAATTTTACATAAACTACTTCAGAAAATAGAAAAAAGATGGAATTCTCCCAGACACATTCTATGAAGAAAACATATCCTTGATACCAAAACCAGGTAAAGACACCACCAAAAATAGAAAACTTTAGGTCAATATCTCTCATGAACATTGATGCAAAAATCCTGAATAAAATCCTGGTCAATCGACTCCAACAATACATAAAAAAAATACACCATGACCAAGTGGGATTCACAATAAGTATGCAAGGATGGTTCAACATAAGAAAAACAATCAGTGTAATTCATCAAATTAACAAAGTAAAGAACAAGACCCACATGATCCTGTCAATTGATTAAAAAAAGGCTTCTAAAAAAATACAACACCAATTCCTGATTAAAACACTCAACAAAATAGGAATAGAAGGGAATTTCCTCAACATAATAAAAAGTATATAGGCAAACCCAAGAGCCAACGGTGTTCTCAATGAAGAAAAGTTAAAGGCATTCCCCTTGATAACAGAAACTAGGCAAGGATTACCACTATCACCTTTCCTACTCAATGTTGTATTGGAAGTCTTAGCCACAGCAATAAGACAAGAAAAGGAAATAAGAGGTATCCAAATTGGCAAAGAGGATGTGAAATTATCTCTATAAACAGATGACATGATAGTATACTTAGAAAATCCTAAAGATTCAGCAAAAAAGCTACTGGATATAATTGACCAGTTCAGAAAAGTGGCAGGACACAAGATTAACACACAAAAATCAATTGAATTTCTCTACAGTGACAAAGAGAAGACAGAACTGGAAAAACAATGCCCTTAACAATAGCTAATCACGAGATTAAATACTTGGGAGTAAATCTAACCAGAAGCACAAAGGATCTATTCAACAAAAATGACAAAACATTACTACAAGAAACAAAAAGAGACCTGGAGAAATGGAAGAATATCCCTTGTTCATGGATAGGAAGATTCAATATTGTGAGAATTATAATCCTACCGAAGTCAATCTACACATTCAATGAAATCCCAATACAAATACTAATTCAATTCTTCAACGAGATGGAAAAGGCAATCTCCAATTTCATTTGGAATGGAAAGAGACCCCAAGTGAGCAAAGCACTCCTTTAAAAGGTAGGAGGCATCTCACTCCCTGATTTCAAATCCTACTACACTGCTGTGGTGTTTAAGACAGCATGGTACTGGTACAATGACAGACACATAGATCAATGGAATAGAACTGAGAACCCAGAAATCAGCCCATCTACCTATGGTGAACTGATGTTTGGCAAAGAGATGAAATCAGTTAATGGGGGAAATGACAGCATTTTAAATAAATAGTGTTGGCAAAATTGAAAAACCATCTGTAGAAAGCTCAAACAAGACCCACACTTCACACCATTTAAAACACTAACTCAAAGTGAATCAAGGACCTAGGACTAAATCAAAGGAGTATAAACTTCATTAGAGAAAAGCTTGGAAGAATCCTAGAAACACTAATCCACAACTTGAACAGTCTTCCAAACATTCTGAAAAACTCGCAACCAGTAGAGGATAACATATATGAATGGAACTTCTAAGAATCAAATCCCTATACACATCCAAAAACTTCTACAATATGATTAAAAGGGAAGCCATAGACTGGGAAGAAATATTTAATAATCACATGCATGATCAGGGACTTAAAGCTAAAATTTATAGACTACTCAAATACCACAACAATATAAAGGTAAACAACCCAATTGAAAAATGGGCACAGGAAATGAACAGACACTTCAACAAAGAAGACAATTCAGATGGCAAACAAACACATGAAGAAATGTTCAAAACCACTAACAATAAGAGAGATGCAGATCAAAACAATTATGCGATATCATTTCGCCCCAGTAAGAACAGCAAAATTTAACAGAGCATAAAGCAACAAATGCTGGCAAAATTATGGAGAGACTGGAACCCCTATTCACTGTAGGTAGGAGTGTAAAATGATGCAACCACTGTGGAAGGCAATATGGTGCTTTCTCAAAAAGCTGCAAATAGAAAACCATTTGACCCAACAATGCCACTACTGGGAATATACCCTAAAGAAATCAGAACTGCCACCCAAGCAGATATATGCACACCCATATTTATTGCTGCTTTGTTCACAATAGCAAATGCCCATCAACAAATGAATGGATAGAGAAGCTGTAGTATATTCACACAATGGAATATTATACAGCACTGAAAAACAAACACTCATGAAATATTATACAAAATGGGTGACCATGAAGGAAATTATGCTGAATGAAATATCTGTCACAAGAAGACAAATCCTGTATAATGCCATTGTTATAGAACAGGACTGATATGGGGGTTGGCAGTAACTATGAAAAGAGGGGATAAATAATGTACAAGGCATTGAAACAGATGAGGGAGAGAACTGTATAAAAGGAACATATAAATAGGTATTATTGGCATGAAAAGAGTTGGGAATAATTGTTGCATAGTAAAGTAGCCCAGGGGGAGGGGGACTGTATAACAATGAAAGAATTTTTTTTCCAAAGAGAAAAGTGAACTGGGGGGAAGGGGGACAGGGAGGAAGATGTGTAAAAATGAATGAATGGAAATAAAAACCAAAAAGAATATGTTCAAACCTATTAATACCAAATAAAGCATACATTTACTAAAAAAAAAGAAAGAAAAGAAAACAAATCGGTCAGTCTTGGAGAGGGTGAAACTAAGTCTCTCCTTGGAGGCTAGGATATTGAAGCACTGCATCACTTTAGACCGGTCCTTGGAGAAGGAAATCATGCTCGGAAGGGTGGATGGACAGCACAGGAGAGGGGAACACCAGATGAGATGGATTGCTACAGTGACTCGGGCAATGGGGGTTGGTGTGTCAAAATTAGTGATAGTGACTCAGGATAGGGCCAGGTTCAGTGCTGCCATACAAAGGGTCACTATATATCACAGGTGCCTCAACCAATAACATTCTATGAAAGTTTTGGAAGCAGGAGTGACATCCACTTCCTAAACAACATTCCTCTGGAAACTCTATGAACTTTGATAAATGTCTATAGTTGTAGAGGGGCTTCAGGCCTTTTCTTCATAGGGTCACTGGAAGCCATGCTCAACTTAAAGGCAATCAACAACAACGACAGCTGGGTCAGAATAACTGAGAAAGAAAACCTGTATCTCGCGAAGAACCAAGTAAGTGCCATCTCCTTTATACATTTACTTTCTGGGTTGCCTGGAAAACACAGGCTCTTTTTGTCTGGGAGTCTGAAGTCAGATTCAAGGGTCTTACAATATTTTAATCTCATAGATACCAAATATTATTCCATGTCTTCTCCTGTGTCCTCAGAATTGAAGAGATAAATGTCAGTAGACAGAAATAAGGAAAAGGAAGCATGTCTCTTACCTCCATGCTTGTGCTGAATGATCTAGTCACTTTTGCTTTGATGGTTATAACTTGTCCAACTCTAATTGGGAGGAAAAAAAAGAGTATTTCAGTAATCTAGCAAATTTCATTTGAAACCCAAAGATTTATTCAAATGTATATGCCATAAGACCTGATTCCAGTTTATCATGTTGATGATGCTAATGTATAGAAAATTCATGTTAATAATAAAAAAAATGCAACACTGGCAACAGATGCTGATCATTGTAAACTGCACTGCTAAGTATGTCACGCTTCAATTTACTACCTCTATGTCTTGGACAATATGTAGCCAGGGTGCACCTTAGAGGCAAGGATGGGAAAATTTCATCTCACATATTTTTGGCATGTTGTCAGGACAGGCTAGACCTTGGAAAAATACATCATGCTGGAAAAGGGGGAGGATCAGTGAAAGAGAGGAAGACACAGTGACTGTAAGAATAGGCTTGAGTATATGAGAAGTGATGAGGATGACACAAGATAGGGCAAGGTTCAGGTCCATCATTCATAAGGTCAAGATGAGTTGTAGTCAACTTGATGGCACCTAGCAACTACAACATATGTAAACAGAAAGGAATCTTCAATGATAGGGTACAACCTGACTTTCACATCTTTAATAGACAATTTGACTAAACAGCAGTGTTTCCTTAAGGGAAGTTAAAATAAAAAGGTAAACATGTATGTTGTTGTTGTTGTTGTTAGATGTTATTGAGTTGAGTGCCTACAACAACCCTATAAAAAACAGATCTGAACCCGGTACTATCCTGTGCCACCCTCGTCATCTCTGTCACACCTGAGCCCATTGCTGCAGTTACCACGTCAATCCATCTCATTAGGAAGTTTTCTTCTCTTTCCTTGAATCTCCCTCTTTCCAGCCATGATGTCCCTCTCCTGTATAGCTAGTATTTACCTTACAATATTAGATAAAATGAGTCAATAAAGGAATAAGCATTTAAGCAAGCAAGCTAACAAACTGATTAGATTTGCTATGCTTTTAAGGGCTCTTAATTTTGAGGTTGATAGATATTCGATCCATCTCCATTATTGGGATGCTAATCACATGAACCAGAGTTGTTTCTTCTTTATTAAGGCCCCTCAACCATTTCAAATCACCTTATCTTCACAAAAGGAAAAAGTGTCTCCAACAGAAGTCACCTAAATCTATTTCTTTAACTTTCAAGTTGAACTAATTATTCACTGTTAAATTGTAATGTTAGGAGACTGTTTATAATTACTCCTTCCCTCTCTTTTTGTATGTAATGTCAGACTTTTCCCCCCGCCCCCTTGGTACAGGTCCTATGTGAAAATGTACAATAAATATCCTATTTTAAATTTTTATGAGGTGGAAGGACAGAGCAAATTTCAGATCTGTTGCTGGTAGGTCATTATGAGTCTGAGTTGGAGTTAATTAAACAGCACCTAACAACAATAATAACTGTCTAATAGAGACCGATGGAACCTCTAAGCTAAGGCCCTTAATAACCCTATGAGCTTGAAACTCATGTAGCTCAACTTTGAACAAAAAATAGCCAATAAAATGAACAGTGACACCAGGGAGATGCTTACTTTTTAAAATGCTCATTTAATGCAAGATCGAAGAGGCAGTATATGCCCAGGGAGAAAGCCATAAGGTGGGAAGTGAAAGGCTAGAAGGATGAATGAAAATGAGAATCACAAGGAAGAAACAGGGAGAGTGAGGTTACAATGTGATGACAGTAATGTCGTCAAACAAAATCTGCACAAATTATTCAGTGGAAAACCAATTTGTTCTGTAAACTTTCACTCAAAATATAATAAAAATGTTCTTTAAAAATTAATTTAGCTTTGTAGAAATAGTTTTTTAAAATGTACGTGGCTTCATTTTACTTTTTTGTCTGCATCTATTTATATATAAAGATATACAAATGCACACACACACACCTCTACTTAAGAAAAAAACATGGGACACATATATTAAAAGACTTTTGAGGGCAATCTCCTTCTGGAAATGAGTAATCTTCTCTTTTTCTTGTAAAATATTAATTTGATTGAGCTCTCTGGAGTCCACATTTTTAATTATTTACTGAACTTAAACAAGAGCACTCTGGTTGCTTAGTGTTAAGGATCTGCACTGCCAACTCACAGGCAGGTGGTTCAAATCTACCAGCTGCTGTGTGGGAGAAAGACAGACCATCTCCTCCCTTGCAATTACAACCTTTGAAACCCCACTGGATTAAGCTTGGGTTTAAAAGCACATAACAACATTCTTCAACTAATGAAACATACTTCAGTGTTGTTTTTGTTCTTGACTGCCATCCACTCGAGTATGACACATAACGACCATATGAACAGAAGGCCTGAAGCCTTTCCTAGTGGGAAGAAGCTGCACTGCAATCTTAAAGTCAAGGGGTTTGAGGTGACCAGCTACTCCATGGGACAAGGATTGGCAAGCTCCTCCCGTACGATTAATTGCCTCTGTAAACACAGCAGAGGGTCAGCTATGGGTCGGTTCTGACTCTACAGTACTCAACAATAATACTTCATTAGTCTTCTTTCTATGGTCAAAAGGTTTTAGAGTTATTATGCCACCTCTAGCTCTTGGAAACATTCTGTGTCAGGATCAATCATTCCACCTCAACAAATGACACTAGTTCTGGTTAGTCTTCATCAGCACTGGCAACCTCTCGAGATACAGTCAAGAAAAATGAGCTAAGTAATGCGAAGGCGCTTGAGAGAAAATGGCATTGACAAGCTTTCTTGTCAGAACGAGGATTTGTCTTTTTCTCTATCTCATTCTTGTCTTTTTCAAATAGCTGATTGTAAAGATTTTATTCTATTTAAAAATGTATAATGTCTAAGGAATCTAGCATGTCTCAAAGAAGAATAGTGCATCATTTGCTCTGGATCTAACCAATTTCTCTGATGAAAATAGCAACTACAAGTGATGACAAATGCAAAGAAATGTATATCAAAACATTTAAAGATAAACTTGGTTATCCTGGATCTTTCTAAATAAATAAGACCAATGACATATACAGGGAGGGCAAAACCTTAAAAAAAATTAAAAAGTTAGGTGATAAAGAAATATACTGTAATATAATTCAACTCATTGCCGTTGAGTTGGAACCGACTATTCAGTGGGTTTTCAGAGACAGTAGATCCACAAGAGAAGCTTGTCTATCCTTCTCTCATGGAGCAGCTGGAGGACTTGGACTTCCCATCTTTGAGTTGGCAATATAACTCTTCACTAGGCCACCAGAACTGCCATTACTAGCAATTAATAACAATAAAATCATTTTTTATGAATTGAAAATAGTGTTGTTTCTCAAGACGGCCATCTAAAAGACAGTACAAGAAAGGAAGATCCTCTGTGAGATGGGAGACGCCTCCCCTGCTGCCAAAGCTCGGGCTTGGATTCTGCTGGCCCTGAGGCTTTTCTGGTTCTGCGGCCTCCCAGCTGGCCTCCTGCCCGGCCACTTCTCCCTCTGACCTACCTCCCCGGGGCCATCTGGGTGCAGCGGTGGGGCCTCTGGCAGCAGCTATCACCACCTGGGAAAGGGGAGGGGGGAGCCCCTGCAGATGTATCAGAGACAGTAAGATTGGGACAGGATAGAGCAGGTTTCAGATTTGCTAGTGATTCAACCGCACATAACAACAACAACAACATGAAACAATTGGAAATATCAAGTGTAGCATCAGGTATACTTTAGCCTTTAAATTGGTGTCTTTGTTCTTTAGCATTTTATAGAGGTCCTTGTTATAACAATTCAGACTGGAGGGACAAAGATAGTCAACATATAATAAGAAGAAAAAAAAATACAAACCCAAATCAAAGAAATTAAGTATAATGCTGAGTTACTTTACTAATAGAAACTCTAAGAATAGAAAATCCCTAATTCTGTACACTGAAAAGGTCTACAGAGAATGAGCAATCCTGCCCAGATTATGATCTCTACTTACCATTTTTACTGAAATAAATTGATGTTACTTAACAACAACAACAAAATACTGACTCTGCTCTTTTGAAGAGGGTGAAACCAAATTATACTTGGAGGTTAGGATTTTGAAGCACTGTCTCACATACTTTGGGTACAGGAGGGACTGATCCTTAGAGAAAGATACCATGTTTGGAAGGGTGGAGGGACAGTACAGGAGAAGAAGATCCCACATAAGGTGGACTGACACAGGGGTAGGGGTGTTAGAGTCAGTAAGACTGGCTCAGGATAGGGCAGGGTTCAGAGGGGTTGTTCATAGGGTCACTATGAGTTGCAGGTGACTGGATGGCACATATCAACAACATGCTTACATAGAGAAATAAAACATTTTAACATCCTGTCGAATAAAACAACATATTTTAAAAATATTTTAAGATTCCATTGTACAAGATGGGGTATTTTGTGCACCAGTAACAACATCATCAGTAAAATTGAAACACACTAAGTTTGTCAAAAGCCATGGTTCAAAATGAAATCATTAAAAGGAAAGAATTAAGGCTATCTTTCTTAGAAAAGCTTTATCTCACTATAAAAGAGACACTGATGAAAGAAAATTTCTCTCTATAGATATATTCCAGATAATGAATGAAAAATAATGGAATTAACATGCTACAGGTTTTCAATCATTGTTGTGTGCCGTTGTCTCGCCCAACCCTATGTACAGCAGCTCTGGACCTGCCCTGTTCTGAGCCAATCTCACTAATTCCAACACACCAACACCCATTTCCCCAGTTACTGTAGCAATCCATCTCACTCAGGGTCTTCCTCTTCTGTGCTGTCCCTCCACCTTTCCAAGCATGATGTCCTTCTCCCAGGACTGGTCTCTCCTAGCCATGTGCCCAATGTATATGAGCCAGGGCTTCAAAATCCTATCCTCCAAGATGAAACTTGTTTTCACCCTTTCCCAGACATATCTACTTGCTTTCTTGGTATACAGTTCTTTTTTTGGTCAATGACTGTGTATTTCTTCCATCTTCTTTCAATGCTTTTTACCTATAGAATCCTAAGCGTTGCAACTCTAGCTTGAATTTTTCCTGAATTCTTCCAGTCAGTTGGACAAGTAGTTGTC